AGCACCATGGTCTTCAGGATGCTTGCGTGGCGCTTTGTCACAAGCCCTGAAGCCAACAAAAGAAACAAACACGATTCACATTGACACATGCTTACGTGTGTGTGTGTGTATCTTCTGCCGCAGCCGAGTCTGGACCTAGAGAAGGACAGACAGGCAGGGAAAGGCAGATAGATGAGGCAGACAGCCAGTCAGAACAACAAAAGGCACGCTTACATGTTCATGATGTGCATGCGAGTGCCGTGCCAAGCCGCGTGGTGATGCGGAGGTGGTAGCAAGAGCACAAGATGCCTCCCATCTCTCCAAGCGTCATCCGCATGGCTTGACGAGCTGCTGTGAGCTGACAAACAGCCGAAGCACCTCGTCTGTTTCTTTCTCGATGATCTCGCTGACCGCCAACACCTCATGCTGAGAGCTCGACAGCAACGACAAGCAAAAGCTGACGAGCGAGAGGGAGAGTTAGAGTGGAGACCGAGTTACACGGGCGAGATCTACGAGACATGAATTGCGATGGATGTGGACCCAAGCTTGCGTGTCCATGAGACCCCCGTCGTCACTGAATGCTTCTACCGGCTTCGTCACATTCCTACTCGCTACCCCGAGCTACTGCTGATACTCCAACTACGGGTACCGTAAAACGAACGCAAGCGCCAGTTCGTATCGCAAACAACCCAGAGCTTCTGCCGGTTGTTTGGCACCCGTATGGCAAAGGTGTTATCCAGCTGAGGCGATTCGCCCAAACCGGGCAGACGCAAGGATTGACGCAAGGTACGGGGAGAGGTGAAGGGCCACAGGGAAGAGCTCAGAGAGGCCGCACGACGCACTGGAGACAGCCTGTGTGCTGGTTGGCCACATCGACGCCTGAAATCCTGTGAAGGTGGCCGTCAAAGTCCGTGTTCTGTCTCTGGTGTGGAATCAGGTGCTTGAGTTGGTCCGGGCAGCCTGCTGCCAGTTACTGGTAAGCGATGCCCCTCCATAGGCGCACATCCCACGTGTTGGTGACCCTCCGTTGCACGGTTCTTCAGCTTTGTGTGAGGCGTCTTGTGCGCGTGTCGAGTTGCTACCATGTCGGCCAACAACCCCCCCAATGCTCGCGAGAAGGAGAAGGAGGGCAAGAGCAAGCCCGCGCCGCCGCGCCAGATCCGTGTGCAGCCTCGGCGAGGCGCCAAGGACAGCGCGATCCATGCGTCCTTCTGCCGGGAGGGATGGGCCACTCTGACGCTGCCTGACGCGGTGAGTTAGAAGAGAACGGGCAGGGCGAGGAGAGACGTCATAGGTCTGAGCTGTGTCGATTATGTGGTGCTCTGCAGGTATTTGAGGCCATCCCTGGCGACTGGCGGAGTGCGTGGACTAAGTTTGCGGTGAGCCAAGTCAATTCAATCCAGAGAGTGTGCAGTGCACAACGATGCGCATGTGTCCAAGTGTGTGTTGGTCTTGTGTGTGCAGGTGTTTCCGTACCGTTGGTGGCTGGTGTTCACGTCCTTCGAAGTGCGGGAGGAAGCCACATTCAGATTCTTGTAAGGAGGGAGGAACCGCCGGCACAGCACCTACACAGACACCACACACTTGGATGGCCAACAAACTGTTCCTCATGTCATCGATGTCTGTGTTGTGTGCAGCGGCCCTGATGCGGACATGTCTCCCCAGGGCGAGAGTTTCAACCCCGTCCACGACTTTGTGCTCAAGAACGTCCTCGAGATACTCAAGTGCAGCGGCGTGGAGCAGCCCACACTCGACAAGGCCCTCAACGGCCGCACCATTCCGTCCACACCCAACAGCCCCCGCCACACTAGTGCTGCGGCACAGGCCACCACCCCACCCGCGCACGGGCACACCCCACCGCAAGTCGATGGCGCCAGCGCGCTCTCCTCCCCCCAGCCCCCCTCCTCCCAACAGCACCAGCACCAGCACCAGCCACAGCACCAGCAGCAGCACGCCCCCGCCACACCCCTGCTGCGCGACCTTCCCGTGGAGGCGCGTCTGACGTACCTGTCGTACAACCCGCTGCCGCTGGCCCCGCCGCCCGACTGGCTCAACACCGAGGACGTGCGGCACGTCATGGCGTGTGTGCAGGAGCCAGAGCTCGAGGAGCTCGTGACGCTCATACTGCCCCTGGCACTCAAGCACGAGTGCTACCACGACGACCGCAAGCGCATGCTCGTCAAAGTCGGGCAGAAGCAGGGCGTCCTACTCACCAGCCCCCTCCTCGCCGACCTCTCCACCGCACTGGGAGGCGGCAAGGGCGGCGCCGGCAGGGCGGGACGGATGGCGCGGTCGTGCGACCACATCTCGGCGCAGCGCACGGTGAGGGGCGTGGCCATCTACTCCCTGCGAGCGCGGCGTGACGACCTGGCGGCCCTCTTCGGGGTCCCCATCAAGCGCGCGGCCCACCCCGGTCCGGTGCACTCGGGTGCGGGCCTCTGCTGCACGCGGATCCTGGACACCGAGCCGGCGCCGCAGCTGGGTCACCTGTCGTCGGTGCACCTGCCCAGCATCTGCCTGCAGCGGCAGGACACAGCCGTGGTGCTGCCGCAGCTACTGTACCAGTGCATCGCACCCTACAACTCCCAATTCATCGCCGCCCACCAGCCACACCTGGCCTTCGCCCGACGCGAGTACGCCACCTCGCCCACCAAGAAAGCCGTGTGCGACGGCCGCATCCACGACAGTGCCCATCACAAGGGCGGGGGTGGGGGTGGGGGCGTGGGGGGAGGCCTGAAGATCGGAGGGGCGTCCGGTCTAGACGAGGACGAGGACATGCAGGGAGGGGGCGGGGGAGATGCTCGTGGGCAGGGTCTGGGTGGGGGTGGGGAGGCTGCCGGCGCTGGTGCTGGCGGTGGTTTTGGTAGTGCTGGTGTGACGCCGGGCCCCAGGCGTCGGCGTGGGCGGGGCAACGCGCCGCCCGTGAGGCGGTCGCCGCGGCTGGAGGAGAGCAAGGACTCGCGGCCATCAGGTACGTACGTACGCACGGATGCATGCATTCCCCACTGACAGGTCAGGTCCACAAATCCACTGCATGTGCTATCTCTGTCTGCTTTTTCTCAGGCTCGCCACCTCCTGCAGCAGCGATGGCCGTTTCCTCTCCCAATATGTCGGGCGGCCCCCAGCAGCGGAAGGCGAGCGCCAAGGCAGGCCGCAAGCGGACGCGTCGCTCCAGTGGCCGGCCATCGCCATCGCCCCAGCCCAGCCGCCCCCGCTACCACTTCCGTGGGCGACCGCCCCCCGAGCCATCCGATGACGAGCACAATGACAACGGCGAGGGCGACGACAACCAGACCCTGCACAGTCACAGCCACAGCGCCCCGTCTCCAAGCTCACCCACCGCCGAGCGCGCACAGCGAGACGAGGTCAAGAACGACGACGAGATCGCCGCGCTCGACCCGCACCAGTTCAACAGCGTGTCGAGGCTCACCTGCCGCCGGTTCGTGAGGTTCCCCGTGGTACGCCACGCCCGGCTGACCCGCATCGGCGCCCCCATGCGGTCCATCACGCCCTCTTTGGGCCTCAACGGCCGCCGCGGCCGGGAGCCGTTCGCCGCCGACAACGTGGGTATGAGCCCGGCGCTCAACCCGCGGCAGCCGCAGGGCCTCATCGGGACCGCGCCCACCATCGGGTATGCCTACAACCATGCCGGCGAGGAGGTCGCCAGGGCAGCCGGGGGCCAGCGCCAGCAGTCCCAGCAGCAGGCGCGGAAGGACAAGAAGCGCGAGCGGGAGAGGGAGAGGGAGCGCAACCACCACAATCGTCACGCGGGCAAGGGTGGGCTGGGGGCGACCCCGAACCCCTCGCCCGACCGGAAGCGTCCCCGCAAGAAGGACAAGAAGGCTGGTGGTAGGATGCGGCAGCAGGACATGGGTGGGTCGGGGGGCGAGTGGGCGTCGGGCGAAGACGGCAATGGCGATCCGTCGCCGCCCATGTCGCCCTCGGGTGCACCAGCAGCAGCAGCTGCTGCAGCCGCGGCGGGAGGGGGTGCAGCTGGCGGTCTGAACCTGGGCGGCGACCGCACGACGTGGGCCAACTTCGCCAACACGTCGGCGTACATCATCGGCCAGATGACGACCTACATGCGCGTGTGGGACTTCTTGCGGCTGCGTCGAACGGCCAAGAGCAACTGCGACCCGATCATCACCAAGTGCTTCCTGCAGCACCTGAGGCTGTTCGAGGATGAGCTGCAGGTCAGGAACCTCCCTGGCCTCACGCCCATGCTCGCCGCAGCCAAGGAGGTCGACTGCAGCGCCATCAACCAGGCCGGCGTCCTCTCGCCACATGTGTGTTGCCTTGCGTAGTGTGCAACGGAGAGAAAGGGAGGGGACGGGTGCATGCCGCAATGGCTGATGGATGAGCGGGATGAATGCCTCTCTCTCTCTGTCTCTGTGTGTGTGTGTGTGTGTGTGTGTGCAGTCGATCCAGTTTGTGAGTGCGGTGTGCATTAAGGCCAAGAAGCTGTCGTTTGGCGTCAACTCACACGCTAACCTGTGCAAAGCGGTATGCAAGACACACACACACACACACGGCCACACACGTGCTGACCTTCTCACACCTGCCTGTGCGTGTGTTGTGTTGATCAGATCACCCGGGCCCTCGGCCGTCGCCCGGAAGTCGTGTGCACCGAGGAAGCACGTAAGCTTTGTCTGTCGAGGCAAGAAATGCACACAGGGTGGCATCCATCCACGTGTGGGTGTGTTGTGTGTGTTGTGTGTTGTGTGTGTGTGCAGGTTCCGGTAGTCCAACGTTGGATTTGTGCGTGCAGCGGGAGGGCGGCAACGACCTCCACTTCCGCATGCCGATAGCCGTGCCATTCCGGTGAGTGAGAAAGGACACACGGCACACACACAGACGGATCCACGTCTGTCTACGACACGGAGAGAGGTGCCCGTCTGTCTGTCTGTCTGTTTTGTCTGGGTGTGTGTGTCTATCTATTGATTGGTCACACACAGCAAGTTGTTGCGTTACTATCGTGAGATCAGCGGCATCTCCGACGGCATCCTCGAGCTCAGCTACGACAACCAGAGAACCATCGTACGTACCACAGACAGCACACACCCGCACACACACACATAACGCAACTGAAGATGTCTGGGTGCGGTGCATTCGTCTGCCTGTTAACCTGTCTGTCCTTCTGTGTGGGTGTATGTATCAGTTGTTGTCTGACATGACGCCAGCTGACTACCGTATGGAGGGCCGCGTGACGTTGTCCATTGAGCATCGCAAGGTCCTCCAGTACTCACAGAGGATCTGGATCTCACTCTTCCTCGAAGGTAGGTACTCACACACGAACAGCTAGCTGCACACACAGCCAAGAGGCGCAAGGGAGCGAGGGGGGGAGTGTGTATCTGGTCCATCTGTCATGTGTTGTGTGTGCTGGCTGCTGTGGGCAGGTGACAAGGACTTCCCCACTCTGCCGCGGCTGCGCTTCAACGCCGCCATGCAGACGCCTTTCTCGTAAGTAGAGAGAGGACATGAAGCACACCACACCACACCACACCACACACATGACGGAGACAAGCACCGATACACGTGTGTGTCTGTCTGTGGTGTGGATGTGTGGTGCAGTCGTTTGGCGGAGAGCTACAGCCGCAACGTAGGTATCAAGGACACCGAAATCGACCTCTACTTCCAGGTAGGTCACACAGGCAACAGACACACACACACACACAGACGCTCCAAACGAGTCCCTTGCCAGCGATGAATGAAGCGTGTGTGTGTGTGTGTGGTCTCCTGTACAGGGCAAGTTGCTGCCGCGTGACAAGACCCCCGTCGACTTCAAAATGGCCGACAACCAACACATCATGGTAGCGAAGCCACTCACTCACCCCCCGGCGCATCCACATCTTTGTCTGCCTCCCTTCTTGTGCAGGTGCGCATGAAGCCCGGGTGCACCCCTCCCCCTCCCGCACAGCCCAACAACAACCAGAACAACCAGCAGCCCCCCAACGACGGAGGGGCCGGGGGCGCCAACAACCAGCAGCCCCCCAATGCAGGCAATGGCGCTGGAGGCGACGGTGCTGGTGGAGGAAACAACCCTCCGGGCAACAACCCACCCCCGCCCCAACCACCAGGTGGCGGAAACAGTGACAACAACAACCAGCAGCAGCAGCAGCAGCCACAGGGGGGAGGGGGCGGTGGGGGTGGCCCCAACGCCGGTAGCGGTGAGATAGTGGAGGCCCGCGGTCAGGTGCAGGTGCTGGCTGCAGCCTCGAGGTACCCGATGAAGCGGTGGCGGCTACGCGACGACAAGGAGGGCCGGGTGATGCGCACGGTGATCCAGAAGACCATGCGCGAGGGCAGCGGCGTGTATGCGATTCCCATGCACGACATCCTTGACGCTGGCGAGAAGACTGACGCTGCCACCGGTACTGGTGGGCCCGCTTTCGCACCCGCAACGGAGGCGTGTTGACGGTGGGGTGTCAGCTCGTCTCGTCACCACATCCATCCATCCATCCTTGAGTGTGCGCTGTGCTGCCTAGCTGAAGGACGAGGTTTGTTTTTTCCAGCCCTGCCTGCCTGCCGGCCTGCTTGCGTGTATGTGTGTGGGGGGGATGCGCTGGTGCAATTGGCGTGCGTCTTGTGTGCGTGTGTGTGTGTGAGATGGTGGGTGTGTGGATTGATTATGTCGCGCACCACGACTCCCTACCTGCAAGGCTGGCTGCTTGCCTGAGGCACTGACTGAGGTACTGACTGACCCACACACCGCTGGCTAGCTGCAACCTGCATGAATTCGACAACAGACAGAGACACGTACAGGTGCAGAGAGAGAGAGAGAGAGACCACATCGATTAGCGATGGACGGCGGTCTCTTTGATGGGCGCATGGATGGATGGATGGATGAAAGGTTAAGGGACCGCTTCTCCCGCTGTTAGTTGTGGTGAATGAGCACGTGTCTGTCTAGATGCATGGACGATGCGTGGCTAGACCTACCTGCGACAGACAGACAACTCCCGCCTCTTTCTGCCTGAAAACGCATCTTTACCCGTTCGTTCATTGAGGCGCGACCGCCCCCAACACAACCATTGCACATCAGCAACACGCACACATGCATGTACCTACAAGGCGATAGCAACAGGTCATTCCGCAGAGGCAACAGTCTTCACAGAAACCCATTGCAGGGAGTAGAGCTAGGCTTCCTTGGCAGACCACCAACGCACCCGGCCGGCCTCAATCGGCGGTGTCGCTTTCGCTTGCATGACTGCCACCGTCGTCGCTCCCGTCAAGCGCTGCCATGGACGCCTGAACACACACATGGAGGGAGGGAGGGAGGGAGGGAGGGAGGGAGACACAGGGAGCGTGGAACCATGAAAGGCCGTCTGTCTGTCTGTCTCTAAGTGCCCCGTCCATTCCTTGCTACCGCAAGTCTTTGGTCGTCGGCTTGCTTGTTCCTTCTTTCGTTGAGGCGTCTCCCGATGGCCTCCAGCAGGAGGGAGTCGCTGTCTTGCATCCTCCATATCAGCGCAGATATCTCCTGCGTCAGGACGTCCACATCCCTCGTCCCCACTCTGCTGCCCTTCCTCGACTGCCTCTCGACAGTCGCCACCGAGTCTCGGTACCGCTGCAGCTCACGGAAGAGCCGCTCCTGGTAGTCCAGAAACTGAAGCGACTCCCGGAAACTCGTCTCTTCGTTGAGCATGGCCTGGGAGAGCTTGTCAATGTCGAATACTGACGTCAGCGGCGGCGGCATCTTGGTCTTGGCCATCAGCCGATTGGCCTCGTCAGGACACTCCCCCACAATGGACCCGCCCAGCGTCAGGTCAGCAAGGGGCCGTTGGCCGCACACGTGGTTATTGTCGCCCGAGAGCGGGCCTTGGCCAGTGGGTCCCGCAACGAGGCGTAAGAGGTTGCGGTCGGTGCGACCTGACGATCCAGACAACGTTGCACTTCTGCTGCTGCCACGGCTGGTCGGGCCGGTATCTGACCTTCTGGGTGAAAGGGTTGCCTGCACACGACAGACAGACAGACAGACAGACACGTGAGAGGTCTTCCTTGCGTATGAAAAGTGGCTGAAGTCACTCACCTGCCTGTCAGATCACGCGCCCTGACGGCCATGCCGAAGACCTTCGTCCCGATCTCTCGCCGGTAGTCGACATGCTGCGGCTTGTGGTGGTCGCCAGCAGCAGCACCCACCTTGCCGCGCGCCTCTCTCTGCTTCTCCCACTCAGCCTTGGTACGCCTGCACTCACACACATGGATAGATGGATGGCACCAACCAGCACATGGTGTGCGTGTGGATGGCTTACTGGATGATTTTCTGTTCGGTCTCGCGGACGAATCGCCTCTGGGCGACCTGCTGCCATGACGGCGTTCTCTCAGCCAGGGCGTCCTGATACGACAGGCAATTACAGAAGCTGTGTGTCCGCCGACTGCCTGCCTGCCTGCCTGACTGCCTGCCCGGCCCACCTAGGTACCTACCTTCCTGGCTGCGTCCATCTCCTTCGTGCGCAGCCAGAAGGCGAAGTGCGTGTCGTCCTCCCACTCTGGCTGCGGCCCACTCGTAGACTCGAACCTCCCCCTGATGGCATTTGACAGACCGACGGCCGCCTCCCGTATGTCCCTGTCAGGGATGAGCTCGTCGTCCAGCTGGTTGACGCGCGAGTCGTCCAGCCTCGCCTGCAGGCACTTGAGGTGGACGGAGTAGGCCGCCACAAGCAGCGCGCGGTGGGCGGCCTTGAGGTGGCCGGCGATTTGGGTGTCTTGCATCAGACGGATGTGCGCGAGGATGTGCTTGGTGTCGCGGGTCAGCTCTGCCATGGGCACAGGGGCTGTGTCTGTCGGTCGCTTCCTCTTGTTGCCGTCTCTGCGCTGTTTCTCCAGGGCACCCAGGGCTCTCAGGATCCGCTCAAATGTCAGTTTGAAGGAGTAGTGCTGGAAACACGCAACCAACAAAGGCAGAGAATGTCCCAATCTCCTGTTAGTCATCACATGTATCAGCTCATCGATCGCACATACCTGTATTCCCTTCTCAGGCGGTCGCTGCTTTTTGGGCTCCGTGGCCGCACTGTGGGTGGGGCTGACGACCGACGGCTGCCTGCTGAGCGTGGCGCTGCTGCCCACCGTCCTCTGCGATGCGTAGGTGGGTGTCCGCCCACCCCAGTGAGTGGTACTTGCTGGCAAGGTTGAGGGCCTCCGTTGTGCGGCAAACGTGACCTGTCGGATGAGGTCCCGCCCTTCCCGGAGCGCTTCGAGGCAGTCCATATACACCTTGTCGTGGGCAGCTGATGGCGATGACGTGAAGAAGGGGAAACTGCAATCAATGCAATCACCAAACACATATCGGATCAGCAGGCAGGCAGGACAGGAATGAATTGACACTCTCACGCGGGCGGCCCTCTTACTTTACTCACTCACTGGCATGCAAACATACCTTTGCTTGACGGCCTGCCTCCATGTGTGGGTGGCTATCTCGTCCTCCAGTGTCTCACTGAGGCCGTCCTCAGACACACCCTCCTCCCCGGGCGCTGCCTCCATCCACCGCTGTGCGAGGCTGTCTTGAAGTTCCACAGCCGCTTTGAGAAGATCAGCAGGACCAAGCCCCCTTGCGCCCTTGACGCTCGGCAGGCCATCCTCGAAGCTTATCGAAGACTCACTGCTGCTTTCCTCACCCCTGGCGTCAGCATCGCTCTCCTGCAATGGCCCATTTTGGCACTCTTTGCCGCCTGTTTGATCCTCAGAAGCGCTCTCGTCTATCATTCTTGCTGTGCTATTTGTCCCTGTCTCTTTCGGTAGCTCGCATTTCTTTCCAGAGTTTGCGTCGCGGAGGAGTACGGTTGCAGCGGCTCTGTTGGTTGTTTGGCAATAGCTAGCTAGATTCTTGAGAGTCCCCTGTCGAGGATGGCGCGCGAGGAAAACGTGTACAAGGTGAGACCGCGACAGACGGGATGGGTCGGGGGGGCTCTTGTTCTGCACGTGTGCATTAAAATACGGTGGCGCGATGTCTGCCTGTCTGTAGGCCAAGCTTGCCGAGCAGGCCGAGCGCTACGACGGTGAGCAAGGGCAGGGCGCACAGCACACACGACAAGGGGAGGCTGGCTGGGGACGCCGCCTGCAAAGAGAGAGTGCCGATGAGGTGTCGTCCTCTGTGGTGCACATCTCTGTGTGTCTGTCTGTCAGAGATGGCCGAGTAACACTGAGGAGCACTGAAAAGACCCAGACAGACGATGTGCAAATGAGCTTTTTCTCATGTGTGCTGAGTGTGTGTGTGTGTGTGTGTGCAGTTTCATGAAGGTTGTGGTTGAGATGGGCGAGGAGCTCACCGTCGAGGAGAGAAATCTCCTGGTAGCGAAGCTCACAGAAGAGAACCGAGCACTGCAGCGCCTGACCATGCATGGCATGCGGGCGTCATCTTGTTGTATGTTGTGTGGTGTCTGTCTGTCGAGTGAGTGCAGTCGGTGGCTTACAAGAACGCCGTCGGTGCCCGCCGCGCGTCGTGGAGGATTATCTCGTCGGTCGAGCAGAAGGAGAAGTCCAAGGGCAACACGCAGAACGTGCCGCACGCCGAGGAGTACCGAAAGAAGGTAAGACACACAGGATGAGATGAGGGCTGGGTGGGTGAGATGGATGGATGAGGGTGGGCGGATATATGTCATTTGTGTGTGTCATTCATTGTCATTGTGTGTCAGGTTGAGGACGAGTTGAACAAAATCTGCCAGGTAGCTAGCTACACTGACAGACACAATGAACCTGGTAGCCAGACACAGGTAGAATGGGAACGATGTGTCTGTCTGTGTTTGTCCAGAACATCCTGGTTCTCCTGGACAAACACCTCATCCCTTCATCCACCACGGTAGCTACACTACTAACACACACTCCACACGGACACATCACCGGCCCATCAAACAACCATTTTGGTTGTGCGTGTGTCCCACCCCGCCCCGCCACCAACTCTCAGGGCGAGAGCAAGGTGTTCTACTACAAGATGAAGGGTGACTACTACCGCTACATCAGCGAGTTCAGCCAGGACGACACCAAGACCACCGCCGCCAACAGCGCACACGACTCCTACAAGGAGGCCTCCACCATCGCCCAGACCGACCTCTTCCCCACACACCCCATACGACTCGGACTCGCGCTCAACTTCTCAGGTCGATATTTGCGATGGATGCGAACGGACACGAGTGGTGGTCCCCTGTGTATGAGCCATTGCGTGAACTGGGTATCTCTATGTTTGTGTGTGATGCATGTGTGCAGTGTTTTACTATGAGATTCTGAACAACCCCGAGGAGGCGTGCAAGATGGCCCGTCAGGCCTTCGAGGACGCCATCGCAGAGCTCGACAACGTCAGGTACGAGACGTGACGTATGCCCTCCCTGTGCCAGACAGACACATCAAGAGAGAGAGACAGAACGGCACATCTTGTCTTCGTCTCTGTGTGTGTGGATGGTGATTGTATTGTCAGTGAGGATTCGTATAAGGACAGCACGTTGATCATGCAGCTGCTGCGCGATAACCTGACGCTCTGGACCTCCGACATGGCACCCAACGAAGAGGGTCAGTCAGCAAACCGCACACACGCACACACATAGATGTCCCACTGATGTGTCTGGGTGTGTTGTGATTAATTAATTGGCTGGTTCAGGCAAGGAGGGCGAGCAGTGAGACCCCTCTGTGTGCCCTCGTCCTCGTCGTTGTTGTGTCTGTCTGTCTATCTGTCTTGTCTCGTCTCATCCCGCCTCTCCCCTCCCCCCCCCCCCCCCC